ATATCATATCAGTGATAAACTCTTATCTGATTTTTTCACTTTATCAAGTTTTTTTTACCATTACGTAATTTTCTAAGCATAAACAATCGGATGAAATATTTCTTTTTTCAATATTTCAAAATTGTTCTGAACTTTTTGAATATTTTCAATTGATTCTTCATCGAAGATGTTCAATGGATATGTTTAAATATTCTTATGACATGTAACTATTGTAATATACATTTTTATTATCAACATTGTTACAGTTTTCTGTATAAAAGCAAATTTTTTATGACAAGCACTTAAACAAAGCACTTAAACATCTTATAAATTGCATTTAAATAAATATTTTATAACCTCTGTTGTGTAATTTTTCATGTTGCTCTTTGCACAAATAATATGAGAAAGATTGTCTTATACTCTTAGATACGCATAACTATCACAGCTGTTAAAACAAGTTACCACTACTTACAAAAGAAAAGAAAAACCGTTTAACATACAAATTAATCTTCATTTCGATATTATTGGAAAAAATTTCGATATGTAGAAAAAATTTTGAAAAATCCTCTCTTTCATGAGGTTATTATTGAACTAATTAATATGACATCAAGAAGTTAAATGTAACAACAACAACAACAATCAAATATGAAGTTTGTAAATATTCAATAAACATTTGTAAATTCTAATGGGAATTATAATTTAATATTTTTGAAAAATTCCAATTTTAAATCTCAAAGAATACATGTTGTATTTAACAACTTAAAAATCCTAAAGATCCTATAAAAAAGAGAAAATAACATTAAATATCTTTTTTGATATTTATTATATTTTTGATATTGTATTCTTTTGGTACTTTTCTCATTTTTCATTGAAAGGAATTCATTAAAGTATAATTTCTATTATCAAATCAACAAATTTTTGCTTATCACGTTTTTGCAAATACGGTCATGGACTAATAATGCGCATGCGTTGTCGATGATGTCACCGTCATTCGCGTTACATTCTCCAGACTTGTCTGCGTATTTATTATATTTTGCACCGACATTATACACAGCAAGACTATTAAACATATACGTACACAACCATACATTTTCTTCAAATGTATTTGTAATTGTAGTAACGTGCATTAATTTCAATTTATCTTATAAGTACGCAGTATCTCCGGTATCTACTAATTCTTGCTTTTATTTTTACTTTTTACGTCGAATTTCTACGTAGCTAACGAGATGTATCTATAGATTTCTCTTTTTTGACGATTTCATGCTGCTTTTATGCTTCTATAATGACGTCGTACTGTTTTCGTATTGGATTATTTGATAATTTTATATATTCGTATGAGTTAATTAATTAAATGTATTACTTGATATTTAATAAAGATAACAGTTTAATTGAGAAAAAATAATATCTTTTATAATGCAAGCTTGCTTTCTTTTGTGTTTACATTTAAATTCGAAACAGTAACAAAGAATTATTATTATTAGCTCATTATGAAGTTAAATACAAATTTTATTTATATATGTAAAAATAATACTGCTAATGATGCAAAAAGCAGAATATGTATTAAAGAACTGTCAAAAAATATTAGTAATATCATACGTACTCTCACACATATATAGAAAGATAATATATTCATTTATATAGAAAGATATATATTCATTTATATAGATATAATAGAAAAAAATGTTGATACTTGTATATGTTGAATACATTCAATATAATAATAAAAAGCTTATACTAATAGTGTAGTCAAAGTATCTGAAAATTAAAAAGGAAATTAACATATTGCAGATAATTTGTTTATGAAATTTTCAATGAGAAGAATATGGAAGATGTCTTCAACTTCATTCAATCATTTTACACGACCGTAGATTTACGAATTTCGTTTTGTTTCGCAAGCGAATCCAGTCTTATCCGGCTTTTCAGATTGGCGGATGATAACGCGTATCTCTCGAACGCTCTTCTTTATTAGGTGCGTTGACCAACATTTTGTTCGAAAATTGGCACCAGATGCGGTGCATCTGCTCTACAATAAATATGAAGAAGAATCCGGCAAACGATGAAAAGGAGGAAGATTTTCTGACTCATCGAGATGGTTTATTTCTGTACTTTCTGTTCTATAACCAGTTACGTCTGTCCTTATTATTAATCTTATTTGCGTTGTTTTTCATAAATTTATCAAGTCTACATCTACCGTTTGTTCACCGAATTTGCTTGGCTACTAAATGAACATATCATCCTCTGTTCTCTTGATTTTTTTTTTTATTTCGTGCTCCTTCTCTTTTTCTGGCACTGGTAAATCGCATCATCACGAAACCACTTCCGAGAAAGGCCGACTGGTCTGATTTGCGTTCGGAATCAGCTACAATGTTCACAGTTAAATTAGTCACGTTTTTCTTTTACTTGGCTGACTATCGATCGTTAGCAACGTAAATAAACGTAAACTGCGACAGCGCACTTACAGACTGAAGAATCACCAATGTCACAGACTGCGATAATAAATAGTAATCCTTTTCAGAATGACATTTACAAAAATAATGATACGTATGTTAATTATTGAATAAACTATATGTGCGAGATAATTATATAAAACTTTCGTCGCGCTTACATATAAAACTATCGTCGTTATAAGCTAACTTTAAAAACAAAATATTGTCTTTTGAAAAAAGAAATGTTGCAGATATGATTATTAAAGTCTTCTAAAATATTAAAAATTAATAACAACATTGCGAACGTTATGCGCTTTGAAAACTATTATATTTCAAAATATGGTGGATTGCTTGTGATGTTGTTGTAATATTTTAAAACGAATCTGATACTGTACTATATGCTAAGTTTAATGACATTAAAGATGTGGAAAAACCGCAGGGAGGAGGAAGTTAAATCCAGCTATTAATACAATCATTTATCGGGTGTCGGGCGGCGGGCATAGAACGGTTTACAAAGCGAAGTACATTCAACAAAGAAGACCAAAAGATGTCTAGCGGTGAAAAGAAGGGGAGAGGTGGGACTTAAAGTCATTCGATTCGTGTATGCACGTTACACGAAGCAATGAGCGATAAGAATATCATTTCGATGTGAGTAAATGAGGTCACCAAACCGTCCGTATAAGTGAGGACACTTAAGTCAGATAACGTTCTCGTTTCGCGCGATTCATTCTATGCCTTCGAGGCCTTCGAATCGAATGCGGATTCCGCGAGTTATCATCTTTTGCACAAAATATATTTCGATAACTTGATCTGCAAATTAAAGTTTAGAACTTAAGGCAGAGGGACAAAAGAACAGCAGCTTTTATCAGTAGTAATTAAATATTATCATATTATGTAATATTTATTGTAATACTTTCAGAGAACTTTTCTGAGAGTTAAATGTGCCAGCAATACTTATCAAATTAATTTTGTACTTATTTTTGAGAAATTAATTTGTTATTTAACGTTATATATTTTTCGAATGTTTTAGGTACTTAATATTGTGCGCATATTTTTTACCTTTTAAGATTTCTTTTTATAATTATGTAACACTATTATATAAATTAATGATTTAGGATAAAAATGTGTTTTGTAAAACAAATATTACATCTCTTTTCTTTCTGAAATTATTTTATCGGATATAAATGATGCAAAATAAATAATAACAAGTAATATGAAAATAAATAATACAGAGCATTTTGTTTCAACCAAAACTAATATAAATTGTTAATTCTAGACTTATTATTTTCTATTAACTGACAATGAAATATAATTAAATAAATTTGAATTAAATAAATTTAAAGAGTTTAAGACAATTCTGAAATCCAAAGAAAATCATTTTTTTTTATATGCCATGAATTGTAGGCTTGTCAATTCCTGTAGGATTTGCCAAGAACAAGAATAATCGTACAAAGCAAGGTTCGCGCGAATTGCTTATTCTAAAATGTCATCTTGCGTAACGGTTTTATTCTTGCAAGGGAAAGGTGCAGCATGTAACATTGTATCATGTAAGGCGTATCATGTGACGTCAATATACACCACTTATTCAGAATCGGAAAACCACGCAAGTAGCTTAATCAAGTGCTTGCAGATTAATCAGTAAAACGCGCATACGCCTTGAAACCTGTAATTAATATGTAATTTCCTTGCGAAACATTTATCTTCCACCTGCTCTTGTGACGTAAATAAGTTTAACCTCAATAAAATCCACTAACAGGTTTACGTGCGTCATGACTTAACTTTGTAACTAAATAATTGTTAGAAATGAAATTTATACGGACAATGTAAAAAATATTCTCTAAAAAATTATACACAAATTATTTTAATATTATTCAGACATAATTTAAATAGTTATAAGACATTTTCGATAACGATGTCTTTTTAATCTGTTCCGTATTCTCTCGTTAATTTTAGAATGTGACGCAAATGAATGACGTAGCGTACGAGATGTAAAGATAAGATGTAATACAAAAAGCAAGTTCTATTTTAAGATATCTCATTAGAATAAGAAACATTTCAGAAAAATTAATTTAAGTTTAATTTTAAAAAATTAGAAAATAATTAAATTATTATTAAAACTTAATTAGAAACAAAAATAGATTATAAAAAAGATTAAGAATCTTTTTAACATTTTCTTTAATTATTTATATTACACAGAAATGTTTCGAGAGAATATTTTGTTTCTTTGTAAGTAAATATAACTTTATAAGTAGAAATTTTATAGAAAACTGTTACTTTATATTGTATTACATTGTAATAATTGATAATAATAAATATCTCTATTCTAATAAAACATTTTAATTTCTAAAATCATAAATGTAATAAAATATAATATTAAACAATTTTATTAATAATTATTTTATTAGTAATGTCTCTTGAGGTGAAGGTTGATCTTTTTTAAATTTCTTGACAAACGATTATGTAATGTCAGTTTATTTTTACTTCGACGATTTACAGCGTGTCCATAAAATTGCCTCTTTTCTGTGTGTTCTTATGTTGTAGAACAAAATAATGCACATTTCAATCAAGCAGTTGCAATGTAAAAATATATTGCGCGCATCTTCAATAAGATCTTATGTATTTTGAATTAATGAAATAGATAAAATGTTCAAGGTAACAAAAAATAAGAATAATATTACAGGAAAGTCAGAAGTAATAATACCAATGTAAAATATTGATAAATGCTGAAACTGAAAAAGAAACGATTTGAAATCATGTTTCCATACTACTTTACACGGCAATTCTTCCACTCTACCTTCTTGACGTTTGTGTAATTCTCGTCATCGCTATAGAACTATATACAGCAATCTCAAGCTGTTGTTTGTATCATGTACACATAACAATTAAATCGGGAATTTCACGAATACCGTCTAATTTTCTCACAATCCGTCAACTATTTCCGTATCTATTCTCAGTCTCATTCTCGGTCATAAGTATCTTTGACGTATGTGATACACACAAGATTTGCTTACGTAATGCGAATTCGCTGTCGATTGAAGAGGAAGTTTGATTCTTACAACTTTTACAGTGTACGAAAACGCTATTGTGAGTATACCCAACGTATTATGTATAAATTGATAAAAAGTATTAGTATTGAATTAACTTTTGGACGGATTAACTCAATCAGTTATTAATCTAAAATAAAACTTGTACTATCATCATGGATGGATATCATGGAGAGAATTATCTATTTCTTTAAGACCCAGAAAGAGATATTAGTGACGCCGAATTAAATAATCTAGTAAAAGAATTTTACTTTTGGCATGTAACCACGATAGAATAGAAATTTTCGTAAATTAAATGGATCTGAATATCTCAGCTTTTTACCAAGAAATAAATGTCGACACAACGTTGTATCGTTTTCACAACTGTCAGAGCAGACTAAGGTGGGAGAGGTGGTTTTTCTCTGAATTTTGAAACAGGTTTTCTCGATTCTTGAAATGACAGCGGTTTTCCATGAAAATACGGCACATACAAATGACTAATTGCAATGCAGTGTGACCGCAAGTCAGGATTGTTTCAAATGTGTAAATATCAAATGTTGTTTTTATATATAATATGATAGCTAAAAACTTTCAGAGTAACATATAATATGTTCTCAGAGGACGACACGAATTATCAAAAATACATAGAATGAAAGTTTCTTGAATAAAATTAAACGTACGCGCGTGCTCATGTGTATGTGTGTGCGTGCGTGCGTGCGTGCGTGCGTGTGCGTGTGCGTGTGCGTGCATATGCGTGCGTCGGGTGTGCGCGCGCGCGTGTGTGTAATTCTTTTTCAATGTCTTGCCCCAAAAATTTATTTAGAAATATTTGTTACAACGAATATCAATTAATAAATTACAGTATATTTTATAAATATTAAAATTTACATTACAAGATAAAACTTTTTTATTATTTATATTTATTATTTATTTTTTATTATTTATTATTAGTGAAATAAAATTAAAAATTTCCACTCACTTTTTTATGTTCTATACATATTGTACAGAACAATTGAAAATAAAAGAAATGTATTTCTTTATATAAATTGTTTTGCATATTTAAAAGTTGAAATAATATTTTCTGAAACTAATTCAATATATTCGATTTAAATTATGTAAGAAATATGTACATGTACATGTAAAAAAATACATATTTTTTATATCTTGTTATTCTACAATATATATCTTAAATTTATAAAAATCAATAAATGAAAATTTCAATGATTATTTTATATAGGTATGAAAATAATAATAATTTTCTTAAATATTGTATTATATTGAATATTATAAGAGAGAATTGTTGCAAGAGAATTATCGCAAAAAAAATCTAATTTACTGAATAGATTTTTAATAAAATTTCTTAATTATAAAATATATCTTAAACAATCCTAACATTATGCTTTATCGGATATTAGCCGATAAATAATATAATATTTCCGTAACATAAGAGAATATGTTCTTATAGTAAAGCATCCATAGGATAACCATAAAGAATAACGTTTTGATTATCGTGTCAAGCCAATTCATCCTGAAACATTAAAAATGTTGAATATTAAATATAATTATTAATATATAATATATATTAATATATAATATATTATAAATATTAAATATTAAATTTTAATCTTGCCTTAATAAGATATTTAAAATGTTAAATAAATTAAAATAATCTGATAGTATAATACTGCAAAAATAGAAAACCTCATAAGTTATTGTTACATAATTACATTTGATTCATTTAGATTAAATTAATTGTAATGAATTTCTACGAAAGATATTTATAAATTCGAATTTCGAAAATTCGAAAGGAAGGACAGGTTTAGGTAAGATAATATATTTCTTAGATGGATCATAATTGTAATCAATTGACGTAGAATCTCGCTATATTTTACAAGGAAAGTTAATAGAAAATTTAATAAGCTCTGAGTCAGTGTCATGTTAATAGATAGATGATGCAAAAATAGTGATAAGAATGTACTATCATCGTTTTGCTTGAATTTTTTTCCGGAAGTTATTTTTATGATGTAATAGCTTTTATTACGATATTTTTTGATAATTTGAGATAGAAATTTTATTTCTTTTACGTGATAAAGATGATAAAATTTAATATTTTTGTTATTTATGATCAAGTTATAAATACGGAAAACAAGTAAACCTGTGGAAACGCATATCCTGCGACCGGTAAGTTATGTCTACATGCAAATACGTCGGATTGCGTAAATGCGATAGAATTAAAATGCAAACGCGTAATCCTCAGTAAACGTTAAAGTCTTAGCAATACAAATGTGCAAATATATACGAGTTTCTATAGTTAGATACGTAAAACACATAATTATGTGTTTTATATATCTAATTATAGAAGCCCAAGTAGAAACAAAAACTCATATGAAAATTAAGATGACGTTATTCTATCATTTTGACGTCATCTTTCTTATATAATTTTTTGTTCTACTTGGAAATAATATACGTACGTCGTACGTATATAAAATTCTGTTATAGAGTAAAATCAACATTTTTCTTGTATAAATTTTAACATATTAAATAAATACGTACAAATTGTATTATTTTAACACATTTCTTAAATCATTTTAGTAATTTTACATTTTATATTTGTTAAGGTCAGTTAACATGTAGACATGTGTTAAATTTATATATAAATATATAGATTATTTAACACAAAAATTTTAACAAGGATTAATTTTAATACAAATACAAAATGTTTTTTACTGTGTAGAGCTCAATAATTCAAAGTCGAGACTTAATAAATATAGTTCTCTAATAATAAATTTGTCTTTTCTCTCATCATGGCATCAGTATTAGTCGATTATCTATATTGTATGTAATAAGTTATATAAATAAAACAACACATAAAGAAAAAATATATTGTAGATTTTTCAATGATTATAAATAAATAATTTTTTTTAATCAGTACAGAGATATCTTAAAAATAATCTAGGAAAAAATAAGTTAGGAAAAATAGTACGAAAAAATGTTCTTTACTAATGGCTTCGCATGCGACATGTAGAATAAATGCGTCGATTTTTCGCAAGTTCAATCGAAAAGAAAATTATTAAATTGTAATTATATTAAATGTCTAATCAGCTTTGCGTCCTTTCTCTACAAATTAGCTGCAGATTAACGCTATAATTATATGTAAGAATGTGTATGGTTTTTTTTAGGATTTTTAAAACATTTTGTTTTGTCATAACTATTTAAATAAACGCTACAGTTAAGCGAAGTGTCTAGCAAACATCCGGTTCTTTTGAGTAAAACTAAAATTAACGAGCTTCTAAAAGTAGATTGGCTGATGCTTCGCAAAAATTTTCATCGGTTGTCGGTTATGTTTCTATGTTACGACCTAAATTTCAACTGACAACATCATGATCGACCAAACAGTGTACGTAACTTTGCGATTTCACGTAGTGCTGATTTTAATTTTCTACCTGTTTTCATCTTAATTTTTCATTACTCCGCATTATTTATATTATTTTTATTTATTAATAATATCAATTTTCTGTTATCTTAATTTCACAATATAATCTTTTATATAATGTGTGTTTTTACACGGCTGTGTTTGATATGACTCGAATTTTATAATATCTATAATCGAGCTTTCAATTGTTCATAAAGACTAATAGTGCCTCAAAAATCTGTCTAGTAAAGGAGTGAACTCTAAATTGATAAAAAATTTGCAGTTTTGCAATAAAATTCTATTTAATAAAGCGCATCTCACCTTTTACGATGGGCTCTTGCTGCTTCTAAATCCATACTTTCATTGAGTAAGTAAATTTTACCACCAATTAATCCATTTCTGTAAATAAAACATAATATCAGCATAGATGAATCAAATTTTATTAATCATTAATTGCATTGTTATGTAAGCAATACTAACTTAAAATAGTCATATATATCAATATATCTATAATTATATCCGAAGTCTCTTGAATTATCGGCGCTGAGGTCATCAAATAACAATTTTAATTTGTCGTTATTAAACGTCCACTCATTTAATAAAAAATATGATAAAGCGTTGTTGGTCACGAATACTTTTCTTTGCAGTCTGAGCAACCTAGCAATATTAAGCATTTTGTTAAATATTTATCTGATATCTAGAACTCAAAACAGATTTTATATTTTACATATATCACAACTTAATTTTAAAACATCTGACTTAAATTCACATGTAATGAACATTTGATAAATAATTCTTTAAATATATATTGTTTTTCTTAGAAAAAATATAACACAACTCGTGTCTAACACAATTCACAAAATTAAACAAACGAGTAATAATTACAATGAGTAGCCTTGTTGCAAAAAAAAAATGTCAATAATTAATTTTTGTCATACGATTTGTACTAAAAAAATACAATAATGATACAACAAACATTTTACAACGTTTTACAGTTTGATCCAATCTATACCAATAAATACATATATTTGTTTATATATAACATAATTTTTTTTTAATTAAATCTTACATTGGTCGTGAGCCACATAATTTCAAAATTCCATCTAAAAATAGTGCTGGTAAGATGTGTAACAAAAGTACCCAGCAGAAATAATTAAAACGATTATTCGTTATCATCGTTTGTGGCTTCCAAATTATTCCTTCCAAAGGAATTTTCTCACTGATCTCAAATGCCATCTGAACTATGTTGCGAAGGTCTATTTTCTTTATATCATTTGATGCACAGTTATAGACATCAATTGTTTTGTCCTCCGCGATGCTGAAGTATAAAATCCACTATATGAATATCAAACAAATGCACGTAATATTTTTATTATTTAAAAAAAAATAAAATGAAATAAGGGTTACGGATGTATTTTACGTAAATTTTTGAACGTACGTTTTAATTCCACGTTTCCATGCTGCTAGTAATGTTGCTTTTATGGCTACATCAACAGGCATAAAATCACAAGATGCACAAGGATCACTCAAAACAACCCGTAAAATACCTTTTCCTCCGCCAATGAATAGACCAACTGGTCCATTAAAATTATCAATCCAACCTTTTATCGGTTCATCTATTGTTGCTATGACTAAAAAAGAAAATGCTTTAATATGTAATTTACAGATGTACAAAATATTTTAGATGTACAAAATATTTTAGATGTACAAAATATTTTATATTCATTTATACTTCCCTTTGACGTAAAATATAAAAATATAAATGCGTGAAATTAAAAATATGTATTAAAGATATGCGCACCTATCGAAGGCCTAAAAATTACACAAGGTAATGAGTCGGAATAGTCACTGATCACTTGCTCAGCCAATCTTTTGCTAAACGTATATGTGTTTGGCATAGTTCCCAGATACCTAAATAAACATATTTTAAAAACAACAAATGTGACATGTGCCATTTTATTCATATAGCTTACTTTGCTGTGAATATTCTCAAAATATGCTCATCAACGGATTCGGCAACTTTAATCACTTTTCTCCAATCAAATACCGATGGATATAAAGTTTCTTCAACTATAGGCTTGTCAGTCTGAGTATACGTTGAACTAATATGAAGTAGTACCTAAAATTATTTATGCAAATAAAAAATTTTAATGATTATTAATGACATTATTAAATTTTAATGATTATTAATAACATTATTAAATTTATTTTTGAGACAAAAGATATCATCTTAATTAATATGCTCTGCATATTATTTGATTGTTTTCATACATACATTTACATTACATTTTATATTAAATAGTGAATTGAATGTTAAATAAATTTTCATTATAAAAGAAGATTTGCATATCTCATAGTTTTACGTTTTTGCCAATAATATCGGCGATACACAAAATTAATGTAATTTGTTTGCTCCTTTTATACATATACAATTATTTTCAATGTTTTATCAAACAGTGAGAATTTACCACTATCTTTTTCATACGTTGAGCTAAAATGCAGACATCGCGCGTAGATCTGGTATTGTTGAAAATTGCATCTTTTAGTGATTCATCAAACCGCACGCTAGCAGCAACATGGAATATTACGGAAACTCTTTCGATCAACATTTGTTCTTCAGCAGGTAACAATCCCAAATTTTCAGCAGCTACGTTCCCAGTTATAGGAATTATCTTATTCAAACTTGATGATTGTTCATTCCGTAATACATCAAAAAGCTAGATTAACAGTAATAATTATTGAAATATATAATATTATATTGTCGTTGCAATTCTATTTTAATTTATTAAACTTTGAATTAAAAAGAAAAAAAATATTTTTAAAGATAAAGAAAGTAATATAGATATATTTATCAAGTAAAACAAGTGTGAAAGACAACTTTTAGATAGAAGTTATTAAAAAATTAAATAACAAATTATTTTATTATATTTTTATAAACTATTAATTAGAATATCTTAAATTTTTTAAATTTTCTTTATTTTTAAATATGTTTTCATTTTTAAAAGAAAAAGTTTTCAGTTTGATTATGATAAAAAGATGATTTCATCCTTTAAAACTATGTTTAAAATCAAAATTAAAAATAAATTATGTAATTAAACTTTTTCACATAAAATTTCAAACATTTTTTATATTTCTAAGAATCAACAAATATTCTTTTTATCAATAATCATTTTCCTCTTGCGCCAACACACACGTATACATTTTAATTTTATCTTACCTTGTTATCTAACATTTTCTTAAGCCTTTCGCGGACGCTTAATCCTTTCTTCTCTCGTATTAATACAAATATCTCTGCAATGTCAGGACAAGATCGCAACAACTTTTCAATAAGTACTTTCCCCAAGAAGCCCGTGGCACCGGTGATGAAAATGCTACGGCCAGCATAAAACGCCGGCACGTACATATCTGCGTTATTTTCCATGTTTGAACGCACAAAAAATAAAATCAATAAAGTATAAAAAAAATAATAATGTGTTAAACTGTAGCTGAGATGGCAAATAACAAGCTATAAGAAATGTTATCTGAAGACGAAACTAAACTAATAAATCTAATATTAACTTGACTTTTATCCACGGAGGATAAAACAAAACAAATTACAGCAGTTCGTCTTCAATAAACGACAAAAACATAAATGAGCCCAGCAGAAATTCAATATAGGAAATGACGTACTATTAATCGAATGGTAATGATATTCTTGAAGGTTCAAGGAGCAAGTTTTTCCATATTCGTATGCCGATCTACATACATTGTGAGTTTAGTGAGGCTTTTCATAAACAGTATTAACAATGTTATTAGAAACATGCTTGTAACGTATGTGCAAATGCGCATTCGTTATAGATGCAAATTTCCTTTCGTTTTAGACACGAGACAATACAAACGATTTAAATGCAAACTATATTTTATTTAATATCAAGTATATATACATATAAAATATTGATTCTTTTTACATTAAATATATTAGAATATCTAAAATGTTTCCGTTCTTTTAACAATACAATGAATGTCTAATGAAATAACATTTAATAAAAAAGTATTTTTCCTCTATAAATTATTTGCATTTTGATTTTTATTAAATTACAATTTATTATATTAAATAGATAAATTATTTTACAATGTAGAACCACTTATATATTATCCATAGCATGGTAATAATAGAAGTAATTTTTATTATGGTGACGAATAGGTACATTCTAAAATAACAGAATAAATGTAATACTATATACATTTTAATCGTCGTCTGTAATCAACAACATCACCGTACGATCTTATCTCATCGTGCGCTTGCAATTTGATTATTTTCATAAATTAATTAACCCGGACTTTTCGACTCAGTCTAGTCTGCTCTATCTGCACAAAACCTCTTGGTCATTTTTTGGGACATCCTGTATTTAAAGTTTACATATAACTTTTAAAATTACAGATGTCTGGATTATATTCCTAACACATATATTTTTTCGAAAATACTAGCGGAAAGTGTTATACAGACATATTCTTCATCCTTGCCTTGTGCTATCCTAAGACCTTCAATGGGTATATAACGTCCTTTAATTGTTAAATATATATTGTATTTTTTTAAATTTTATTTTCTTTAATAATATTTAAAATAAATAATTAAATAACTAGAATTAAATAATAATTATTTACATAAACGCATTGCCTTGCGCTATTGTAAGGTCTTTCTTAGATAGCTTTTTTTATTTGTTAGATGTATATTTTATTTTCTTTTTAATACATTCCTTCTGTTTTTTTTATAATATCTTAAAATAAAGAATTACTCGAATTAAATTACTGTTCATTTATATAAATAACAAATGTATTCTTTATTTCAGTATTCCCAACGTTGAGAGAACCAGTTTCAGGATGGATAGATAACGTTTATGGTCCAATAGGGCTTATGATTGGTATAGGAAAAGGATTTATACGAGTAATCTATATTGACAAACATGTTACAGGAAATATTGTACCTGTGGACAGTGTCGTCAAAGTTATATTAGTTGTAACATGGAAACTTGGATTATCCACACATAACTACCAATATATGTACGTATCTAATTTTATTTGTATTGAGTGATGAACATTATGTTTTGTTTCTTTATTTCGGATTACGTGTGTTCATGTTTATAACATCATCATATGCGTTCAATCTTTGTTAAATCTCGATAGAAATATTTAATCGAATATGAGACTGTTAGTGCAGACATCATCATTATGGAATATTCAATATAATAATATTCATAATGTTAATAAGTATAATAGAAATGTAGGTCTTCTTTTCGAGACCTTTCTGTCAAATTTAATATATTTTTAATTTAAAGTGTTTAAATTTTTTTAAGTCATTATATGTTTATTTTCGAAAAAAATGTAAATTTTACATATGGTAGAATAATTTATTACTATAAATTTATAAATAATTTCATATAATATTTTTTTATATTTTCGAAATATTTAATTTATGAAAAATTATACAATTAAATAATTAATTTTTAATAATATTTTATACATATATGGCACAATTAGAATTGTGTCAAGTATTTTTCCAGTTTAAAATTTAACATGAAATTTCAATAAGTTTTATATAAAGATAAATTATTATTTATTTTATATATTAGTTAATTTGTAATTTTATTTGTACTAGTTTCACGGCAGATTCTATGCCTTTTGTTTTTAACTGTACAAGGAATAAACAGAAATGTAGGTCAAATCAATATAACAGAGATATATTTAAAAGTATTGATAATGAAATACCTTTGGAAGGAATAATTTGGGATTCTAATACAATATTAACCAATAATTTTATTCTGTATTATACATTGATGATATTATTACATATTTTGCCAGCTATGCTAATCGATCTAATTTTCAATGTTTCTGGACGTCGACCTAGGTAAGGTCTTAAATGATATATTTAATTAGTTTTTATAAACTAATTTTCGTAAGACGAATAGGAAGCGTGAATGGCGGCTATCCTTTCTCTCGCCGTGCGCGCTTCGCCCATCGCTGAATGCCGAATGGCCATTGTCGTCACGCTGGGCCTACGGGTCAGGCGGGCGAG